ATATGCACCTATATTTTATGTGGACTAATAAAATTAGTAAAAATTATAACGTTAATTTTGTTCAACATATTGACATTGAATGAAATAACATTCCACAATAATAACATCAAAAATAATCGATTAATAGGAAGAGAAAAATTAAAATTGAATGATCGTAAAAGAAAACTAGTTAATATGAGCAGGAAAGAAATAAATTAATTTGTTTATTTAAATTTTGAAAACTTGTTTACTAACAATTTATTCAAGATATATTTTGGAAATTTGATAAAATACTTATCTGTCATGATGATATTTTAGTCTACGTGTAATAATATAGTTAATATATTATTATTTATTATTGTCTAATCATACCTGGCTAGTTGATTTTAAAAAAAAAAAAAATTTAAATTAATCGTAGCAGAGCTTTTTGAATTGTTCAATATGAAATAGATGAGACGCAAAAGTTTGCGTTACGAATCTGTGTGAAATGAACTGTTTGGTTCGCGTTTACATTCATCGTTTGTCTTTCTTTGTGATATCAAATGGTGTCATCGATTTGGGATGCTGTTCAATGGTGTTTCCTTGTGTGATTCAATTTATATTTCAGTTTTAACATAAATTTAACCTCATTTTCCAAAACATTCTCAAAAATTGCACTTCTTGAATGGACGATAAATTTAAATTTTCGGGTAATCTTTTCATAAAAGTATCTATTATATAATGTGAATAGTTAACATCAATGTGCTAGAATCATTGTAAGCTATAATTTGCTAACGTAACTCACATTCTCATATAACAAATTGTAAGTTTTTAAATGCAATTTATTTTTATTTTTTTATTTTTTGGAAATTATTATATGATAAATATTGATGTTCGATAGTATTTAATGATGTATGATTGTCAAAATATTTCTATCTTATGTTTTAATAAATTATATGTTTCTAAAATTAACGGTGAAAAAATGTTGATATTAATTTTAGGAAAAATTATTGTGCTATTTTTTCTCCTACGAAAATTTTTCACTGAGACTAGTATTTTTATTGAATTGAAGTTTTTTTTTTTTCTTTCAAATATGAAAAATGATGTGAAATATTCGAAGTTTGTTCATTAGGAGAAGGAAAAATGAAATCAATTTGTCCTACGATCTCTATTGAGTGGTATTTGGTCATAGTGATTTTAGCAGTCGCTAGATAGATTTGACAAAGAAAACGGCAGAGATTGATAAAACAGCGAGATATAATGGAGTGTGTGTGTCATTGAGAAATCAGAGATTAATAAGAATAATGAAATAGTCTTTCCTGCGATGATAACGAAATGGATACATTCTTGACAGAAAATTCAAAAGTAAAGAAAATATGTTCCATTGAGTTAAAATTTGAATTCCAAACGATGTGAAACTGTTTTAAATATTTGGATTGCTATAATGTAAATTTTATAGATATTTGAAAAATGAAAGATATCTTGTTTTCTTTACATATATTCCAGTCTAATTTTTGGTTTATATAATTTTTTTTGGAAAAAGATTTGTAAATTCATAATTTTTTTAATAGATTAATGATACTGAAAAAGAAACTATTCTTTATGTTATAAAAATACAGAAAAAAATCTATTACTAAATGAGCAATATTCTTATGTCAAAAAGGGAATATCTTAGTGGGTTCGTGGATTCCTAGCTAATTATTCATCATAGAACATTAATTTTGATTATTGATGATGAGCATAGATAAGGATGGCATTGTTGAAGTGATCTTAAACTAAACTATGAAACACTTCCCTGAAATTGTTTAGGGCAGCAAGACTGGTTAAAGTGTAATATTGAGTCAGCTGTCATTTAGGTGCTCATTTTTCTACTTCTATCGTTTTGAGAAAAGAAGATATAGGATTGCGTAGTTATTTCATGCTTAACCAACAGTTTATCCATCGAGAATTTGTTAATCTGAATACTTGTATTTTCGAATTTTATTTTGGATTATTGATTAAAATTATTGCAAAATTGGCCTTTTACATTTAGCCAAGGTTACTTCATCTTTTTTTACATGTCGCTAAAATAATTTAAACATTTTAAAAAATTATGAAAATTAATTTATTTGCTATTTTTTCGAAGTGGTGCATTAGCACCGAAATGATTAACGTGAATTGTACTGATATTAAGCATTCATATCTATCATTTTGCTTGATCATTTTCTAGCTTTTCATCCATAATTGCTTAATATTTTAGTATAGACAACGATTGGTTTCATTCCAGCGATTTGATTATCATTTTTCATATATTGTATTTAGCATGGAATTTATCGTGCTTGCTAGTGTGGATTTTATGTCGAAAAACGTTTTAACATTTAAAGCTTTACAAATATTGTTTGATATAAAATTTAATTGCTGCTTTTCTAGTTTTAGTGGACGGGTCGCTGCACTCGTCAGTGTGTGGCTTTTTGCCCCGGGTTATATTAATTAATACGAAAGCATGGAGGAACCTTTACCCGGGATCACTCCCATCAACTGTTACAATGTCGAAAAAGTTCGTTTTATTTCAAAATTTGAAGTATAAATGAAAAAGAGTTGTAGATATTTTTTCTGATTTCGCATACTAATTAATTAATTGATTGATGTGCGGTTGCATTTTATCTTATCTCTATATTTTTTCATTGGAATAAAAGATTCTATAGCTGGATAACTGTGAAGAATTGAAGTGCTATTAAATTATAGAATTAATGATAATTGTCAAGCTTTCGTTTAAGACAAATAGATGTCAGGAAAAAAGAGATATTTGGATGTTCCTGCATGTTTCCATAAATTATCTAAGTGTAAAATTTACTATCGTAATAATATTTGAGGGTAAATTAAGTGCATCGGTGAAGTGGTTAATTGGACGTGTTTACGGAAGTGCAGCTCCTGACCTTTTAGTAAAACCAATCAAAGAGAACACCAATGTTAGTACTTCATATTGCATTTGCTCAGGAAGACAATTTTTGACAGAGTTAAAGTGCATTTTTAACTAAAACTAATGTGATAAGTTAGAGTCCTGCAACTCAATAACACTTTATGATGATGAATTAAATTAAAATTGAATTTGGAACAGTTTAATCGTTTGAATAATATTAAAGCATATCCATATTGTGGTTTTGATTAATCAAATGTTTTAGTTGCATAACAAACAATTTTTATATTTTGTTTCTTTTACAGTTTGGAAAAGGAGTTCTTATTTTCAGAATACCTTCCAGCTAGAAACAGCTGTAATGACGGGTTTAACCAATGCATCATTGTACAGTAATGCTGCTGCTAAAATATTCAAGGATCAAAGTCTTCTTAATGTAAGTTATAAGAAATAATATTGTCTTCAAAAGTACTTCACCCATAATTACTTTGTTCCTTATATGGGACATTCTGAATCATATTAATGATGCAAATGCTTGATTCAGACGCTAAACATCGGTACCTAGGCGTAAGATATAAAACTCTTTAGTGATATTTCAAACAGAATGCTTTATGTTTCGGATTTCGGAAACTAAGACCACGTTGCAGCAAGTGTGAAAGCAGTTCTAATATTTTTTATTTAAATTCCTAAGAATACGATTCTTAAACTCGTATTCTTCATAATTCTTCTTTCGTTTTTTCACCATTTTCTTTTCTTTTTTCTGCTGTGAGAAATTAAGTTATTTTCTTGGATTTAGAGAGTTGTATATTACTTTTGGAAGCATTACAAGTGGTTATAACTTTACAAGTAGTGTCAACTGTTTGATGAAAACAGATGTTCCTTTAACCTTTATGAGATGCTCATAAAGTATTCAGAAGTGTGGTAAAATTTCAGAAGCCACATAGTGTTGTACTTCGAGCTTTGACAAATCATTCAATTCCAATCACAGTATCCGGCGAAGAATCAGATATCAGCGAGGCAATGTTGTCAACAGTTCAACCTTTTCATCAGGTGTATCATTTATGGGTTATTATAAAGCCTTTTTTTTTTTTTAATTTCGTGTGACTTTAATTTAAAACACATTGATGAAAAACATGATTTAATTTCTGCCACTTGAAAACTTACAATTTTTGTAGGCTGCCCATTTGGCAATAATGGATTCGTTAATGATTGCACACATGCGATCCATCATTACGATTGATAAAGTGGTAGAAGCTGTACAGTAAGTGAATTTTTTTGTGATAGAACTAGAGTAATTTAAAAAAAAGATTACAATCCCTAACATAAAATGAATTCATTAATGAATAGAATGTGCAGAAAAATGAATTCATTAATGAATAGAATATGCAGAAATTGATGTCGCCTTGATTTCCGTTTTTAATCCTTGAAAACGAAAAAAAATGAATTTATGCAAATAATGATATTTGATTACTGGTGAAGTTTTTTTGAATAATTTAATTCTCATACATACTTCAGTACAGAGTAGTGCATAATCTGAGGCAGCAAAAAATTTCTTCATTGTTTTCTTTTGCGTATGCCGTCTGAGCATTCATCTTAGAAATATTCTGGAAATAATGATGGCCATGAGAAAATAAATAAATAAATGAAAAAAATTACGGCACAAGTCTGTTCATTCATTGTATAATACTGTTTTACATATTATACATATAGGAATTACACGACAGTTGACAAACGCGAAGAACCAATGGATAGTGTTGATGCATTGTTGTTTTGGATCAATAAAATTTGTTTACTAGTACGAGATGATATGGAAAAATTTGCTGTAATGAATAAAAATTCTAGAGAACAGTGTAAGTAATCTTTTCTTAAATATGTAAAATTTTCTGTAATGGATTAAGATACACCTTAATGAATATGATTTTACAAATCTCAAAAATTTTCGTATAGATTCTGGATTTCTGATATCATGGATTTAATCAGTGGTATGGAATTTAAAAAAAAGGTTGTGGTGTTTTAATATTTTTAATATATTGGATTTAGTTAGCAATTTTCCTACTGTTATTTATGGGGATATTCTTGAATGAAATAGATACGACTTACTTCTGCTTACCAAGCATCTGTTGTGTACTATTTGGGAAATTTCAGATGGATCAGTGGTAGTACCCGAAATGGAAGATCTCTATGAGGATATGTGTGATGGCGCTTGCATTTGCGCACTTGTTGGATTTTATCGACCCAATGAAATGATTTTGCGAGGTTTGTTTTTCTTCTACGGTATTTTGAAGTTTTATATTTGAAATTGTTCAAATTTAATACTAAAAATAGAGATGAATAAAGTTAGATGAAAGCAGTATTCTATTGAACTGCTTTTTTTCAGACATTTGTTTCAACGATCCAATGAGCCTTGCTGATTGCCAGTACAATTTAACACTTCTTAGGTAAATTGTTTCCTATTTTTGGTTAAGTTTTTGGTTGGGGCTTAGACTTTGCTGGATCTGAGAACTAGATTTTTCTTGTAACTTAAAGCTAGAATATTTCTTTTGACTTCAGTTAGAACTGTCTTCATAATCTGAGTTATTACAAAGATTGAGTGAAATAGTTATAAGTAATTTTGTGCATAGTTTTGGTGAATGGTAATTTTGGAAGGATATTCAGTGTTTTTCGTTTACCCTTGCAGGATATACATATTTAAAAATATTTTAGGAAGTTCTGTTCTCATCTTCCATGGAATCCATTTCATTTCGAAATTGAAGATATTTTATATCTTCATGAAAGTTTACAGCCAAATGTAAACGCTTTTTTAGCTGATCTTTTTCAAATTTTCGAAGGAGATGGAGTAATAAATGGTAAGAAAATCATACGAATGCTTTGAAAATTTATCCGAAAAAATGTTTGTCTTTTTTGCTGTTATGGTGTTAATTGAGATCAATAATTTGTTCCTCTTCTTACAGCTCCAAGTCCTATTGAGGCATCAACTACTCCCATACGTGCAAGATATTTTGTACCAGTAAATGGAATACCTGATTTGCGATCTCAAGCTGCTCCAAACAAGACACTTAATCAATTTAGATCTCGTTTTCAACCTGAAATATCACGAAGTAAGCTGTTATTCATTATTAAATATCTTCTTTTTTTTGCTGCCACATATCTATTTATTAGTACACTATAATTTAAAGTAATTTAACTTCGTCTACGAATGGTTCAATTTGTATTTTTTCAGAATTGTTAATGAAGGAAGTTAATAGAAGTAGGATTTCTAAGTTCATTCTAATTCTGAAATTTTTTATTTTAGTCTCTTGACTTTTTATTTCAGCATTTTCTGCGATGTCTTCAGATTCACTGATGACCACTCGGTATGTATTCATTTATTACATTAAATTGCACTGATTTTCTTTGCAGTGAAATAACTTATGAAACTGCTCAGAAGCATGAAAGCACGAAATGTCGTTGTCCGTTTAGTGTGGTATCATAAAAATCCTTGACTATATTATCGAAGAAATAATGAATTTTTTCATGTGCTAAATTTTTAGCTGAAGAAAAAAGTTTATGTGGGATAGAGAAGTCTGCAGTAATTTCAACTAATATATTATGAAATCTTGTTAATAAATGAAATCACTAGGCACCAAAAATTGAGACAATTGAAGAATAAAGGAGTGATCATGTGATTTTATATTTTGTTAAAGTTACAAGTACTTTTTGAAACTTGGTTTTTTATCTAACCTTGAAAAATGTTTTCTATTCCCTTATGTACTTTTTAAATTATAGTTCGGGCGAATCAGGGAAACATCATTATCAGAAGAATTTTGCTGGTTCTAAAACCAATTTTGGTGAACTGGTAAGTAATGTTGTTTTGCTGCATTGCAACTTCTTTTACCAATAAGGAGGGCCAATTAGGAAGTTAATTTGAAAGACAGCGTCATGAGCCATAAGGATGCTTATACGGTTATCTTTATGGAGTTTTAGGAGATTCTCAGAAACAAACTAATAGATGTTTGGCTACTGCCTCCGCACTATATATGAAACAAAAATGAAACTTTTACTGTTCATTTAAAGTTTATTGTAAGATACTATTCAGTGTTAATTCACAGTGCCTTAAATATATCAAACTTCAGACACAGTGTGGCGATCATGTCAGTGGTATGGGTAGTTTTTCGCAGAGAGGAACATACCTTCGTAGTGATTCAATGCCAGCTGCAAGTATACGTTTGGCATTGGAAGAAAAGCGACGTGAACATGAAAAAAGACGTTATTTGGAAACGTTTGTATTAGCACAAGATAATATAAATTGCGATTACGCAAATAGTGCAGTTTTTTGTAACATACTCTCCTATCCATAAATCTTCCTTTTGTAAATGAAACTCAGGTTTTTACAATTCGTAGAACAAAGCCGTAATTTTTGGTTGGTGTTTCGAAAATTTCTCTGGATGTGGATTTCTATTTTTGGAAATTTTTTCATATAAATTATGTTTTCAGGAATCAGAGTGAATCAGAGCGCGCACAGAAACAGAAAGATGCATTTTTCACGCTTATGCAACGCTTGGAAAAAGTACTCTATTATTTTGGGTTTAAATATGACTCTTGCGGTGTTTAAAGATGGTCCGCCAAAGGTCTTGGATACGGTTTGGGAGCCCCTTATTACGAACACTGATCAAATAA